TGTCGGCGGGAAGAAGGGAGAGGGGTTCAGTGCCGCGTGCCTCGGTTTTCCCAGCTGGGGGTGAGCCCACACTGCACAGCTGGGTCCTCCCCTTACCTCTGGAGCCATCCCTCTCTGGGTACCCATTCGCATCCTGCCACTGCGGCTTGCCTGCTTGCTCCTGGCAAAATTTGGGTGGCCTCAATTCAGCAGGGAAGGCGGAAGGGGCCTGGTGAGCGGGGGAAGGTGAAGCCATGTTACATTTATGCTCTTGCAGGTGGGGAAACTGAGGCACTGGGGCGACTGCACCCCATTGTCCTCACCTGAAGGGTGGCAGGTGCCGCCAGGTGCCGTTGCTGCAGTGCCGGACCCAGCGCCTCCGCGGACAAGGGCTGGGGTGCTTCGGAGAGGACGAGGACCGTCGGGGACGAAGGCACAGGGGCCGCTGGGCGGGTTTCTGTGGCGAAAGCCAGACATGGTGGGTTTAGGGGGGGGCAATAATGTCCAATAACACCCCGTCGCAATAACTCCCCGACAGCTTTGCAGCAGCGCTTGCTGACCTGCCCCAAAAGCAAACGCCATCCCAGCCGGAGGGGACAAACAGTGCCGATAAGTGCCTGGCGATGGAGAGCAAACACAGCCCTTCCCTCGCAGCCGGATCCATCCTGGGATGGGTGCGGGGATTTGGGGAATAACACCCCCCCAAAAAAACACATCCCCTCCTGCCTGCACACGCATCCTTTAGCAAAGGATCTCCGCAGCATCCTCAGCGCCATCATCATCCTCCCGGCACCGCTCGCAGTCCCCCGCGGACACCCCTCACCTCCGTTGAGCAATGCAGGGGGCTGCAGCGGTCGGGTCTGGGGGTGACGGGTGCCCGGGACCTCTGCACTGTCCGGCCGCGTCTCCCTTTGGGTTTTCTCCTTGGTGGCTGCCTCCCTCTGTGGCGGCACCAGGGTGATGAAGATGGACGAAGCGATCCTCTTCTCTGCTTTCCCCGGCAGCATCGCGAAAGCTGCAGAAGGGCCGGACCTGGGTTTGATTTGGGGGAAAATAAAATAAAAGGGAGCAAAACCCGCGGGTGCGCCGGCAGCTCCTGCAGCCGCGCTGCCCTTCGGCCTCAACCCGCCTCCCTCCTCGCCCTCCCGGAAAGGGAGAAGGAATGAGCGTCCCCGTCCCACGTCACAGCAATAAATGGTCTCATGCCTGGGAGGACAACAGGGTAAACGGTCCCGATGAAGCAGCATCCGAAATCTCCCATTTTTGTGCCTCTGTGGCCAAACCCCACCCTTTTGTAAGCATTTTAACCCCCTTTACTTCTTCTTATTGCCCCCACCTGGGATTAAACTCCCTGCGGGCAGCAGGAAAAACCCACCTTTCCTCTTAAAAATGGGGTTGTAATAGGATCTGCTTTTGCAAACCATTTTTTGGGGTGTTTCTAGGTCCCCCGGCTCCCCGTTCCCTCCCCGCTTACCCCTATTTCCCCGCTAATCACTTCCAGCTCAGAGCATCCCCCCCTTGATGGGGAAACCGGGGCACGACGCTACGAATCGCTGCGTCCCTGTCACCGAAATGGCCCCCGAGCGTTGCCCGGCGGTGCAGGCAGGATGCGCCCGACCCCGATAAACCCCGCTCGGGAAGGAAAAGGGCTGTTTATTCAGCTTCCCAATGGGAAAAGCAGCCGGAGCGAAGCTTCCCCTTCCCAAACGGGATGGTTTGGGGGTGGGGGGACAGAACCCTGAGGCTTTAGCCGGGGCGCTGCACCAGTGAAGCAGGATTCATCCCCGAGATGAATCGGCAGCCTGAAAAATACCTGTGTGATGAGCTGCCCGGTCTCATGCCCCGGCGTGGGGCAGCTCCGCTCCCCCAAAATCCCACTCACGGACGTCTGTGCATCCTTTCGGGGGGGCGGCCGGTCCTCCCGTGGCGGGGGAAAAGCTTCGGGACGGGCACGCTGGTGACTTCAGCCTCTGACTCAAGCAGGGGAAGGGATTAAAAAGAAAAAAAACCCCGAGCGGCTTCGCTCCCTCCTTCCCTCCCTCCCCGCCGGCGAAACCCCAAACGGGCTCCGGCGCTGCCAGCCTTCGCCCAGACGCTCAAATCCTCGCCCGCGGGAGCCGCTGGTTTTCCTCCTCCCTGGCCCAGCTGCTGCAGAAAATAGGGGGGAAAAAAGTAATAATCATAAAAAAACAACCCGAAAAAGAAAAAAAATCTCCGGGGCTAATGGGAACCATGTGCTCGTCGCATTCCTCTTTGTGCCGGGGCTGACGGGATCCCGGCGGCCCCATCGCGGCACCCCCCCCCCCCGG